TGTTACGCAAATCTCGTGAAAAGAGCGCTTGTTTTGATGGGTTGAGAGTTACCAACACACGTTTGCCAATCGTTCACACGTCAAATACGAGTTTACCAACACGAAGAAGTTGGTGAGAATAGAGGCAAGTTCTATTTGTCGCCAACAGTTTGCCAACGTGTTTGCCGACCGTCTTTGTGCCGTTCACAACAACTTGAGTTTGCCAACTTTATTTTGCCGTGTGAAGGCCGCTTTAGGTTTTCTTAACAATAGGGAGCTTAAGTAAGGACAAAACTGAGGAAAAAGAAAGAAAAATGTTTTATTTAAGTCTTGCAATAATCTAGTTGTATTCAGTGCATCTAAGGGTTCAAGTGTGAAATGTCTTGCCTCATAATCCCTGCCTGATTTCTAGAGTAAATTCAAACAAACTGCCAGCAATCTAGTTTACATCTGCGTGTGTCACAAATTTGCATATTCTGAGCTGTAACAACAGTGACCCAATAGGGCAGCTGACCCAATAGTTGTTTATACGCTTCGCTTTCCACAACTTAAAATAGAAACCTTGCTTTTCTTTTCTAGTGACAGATTTGCACGTTGTCATCACTTGTTGGCACTAGTTGATGACGTATACAAATATTTGCATTAAAGTCGCCTATATTGTGCCAAGAGGTTTCCCTTTTCAGACAGTTCAAAGACGGCCAGAAGGTTGATCAAGCTTGAAGGTCGCTTATGTTTAAAACCTCGGTGATACGCAGTACCCAGCAGCAAATCATTGTTTTGCAACTTTGATAACTTCTGATGGGGTTGTCTCTTTCATGTCGAGGACATTTCACTTAAATTTGACTCTCCGTCTTATGTATTGTTTACAGAAAGTATACCATTAGAATTTTGATGTTATAGCAACCAACAAACATACGAAGAATGAGGTCACAAAAGACAACGTAAATAGGTGGAATTATTAACAGTCTATAGTTAGGGGAAAATCCCTCTGACTGAGCATTAACTGTGGACTGAGGTCATCACAGTAAATAAGAGGAATAACCCCAAAACAAAACAAAAATCCCAAACAAAACAGAAAATGTGGCCGTGCATCAGCTCTACCCTCGTCTGCTGGATCCGCAGACTACTTTGACAACAGAACAGACGCATGAAAAACTGACGTCAATTTGTTTTTTACGATAACAAATTGTCAAATTGTCAAATTGCCCGCGCGCTCTCTCGTTGACGCATCGCATAAATAATAAATTCATGTGTCTGTCCGCTTATTAAAAGTGAACTTTTTTAGCCAATGACCGCGCGAGAATTTCTGCAGTTATCGTAAAATTGAAGGTCGCTTATAGTTATTAATTTAAGAACTGAAAAACCTCGGTGATACGCAGTACCTAGCATCAAATCATTGTTTTGCAACTTTGATAATTCCTGATGGGTTCGTCTCTTTCATGTTTGGCACATTTCACTTAAATTTGACTCTCTGTCTTGTGTATTGTTTACAGAGACCATGCGAACAATGAGGTCACCTGAAAGATAACGTAAATAGGTGGAACAAGTATTAGTTTATAGTAAGGGAAAAATCCCTCTGAATGAGGTCATCACAGTAAATAAGAGGAATAATAGTTTGGGGAAAATCCCAAACAAAACTGAAAATGTGGCCGTGCATCAGCTCTACAATCGTCTGTTCGACGAGGTTCTTGTTCGCCTTCTGGTATCATAGTAAAATCTTCGTGCAAACGCTGCATGTCCTTTCGTTAGTAAATCGTTATAGCTGCTAAGAAGTGATGGGATCGGGACAGAGCCGTGACAGTGTGGTCACTCAAAGTAAAAGCCTACGGTGATCAAAGACATTGCTAGTAGGCGGAATTTATAATTTGGGAAAAATCCCGTCTGAAAATGAAAGTATAAAATGTCGCGCAGGAGCCCTAACCTGATCTGTTCGAAGAGGTTCATGCATGGTTCGCTGATTGCCATTATATTAAATCCTTCTTGTGAACGAAGTATTTAATCGAAATAGCTGCTGAGACGAAATGGGATCGGATCAGAGTAAGAATGCATTGAGTCACTCAAAGCGAAAGCCTACGTCTTCCGCTGGGTTTCTTGGAAGAAACAGGAAAGTATTGGTAAGTAGTGTTGTTGGTGATGTTAATATTCGCTCGCCAAGCGTGAATGAAGGTACTTAGAGTCTGTCTTTTCTTTCTGGTTCTGAATTTCATTTTCCTCTAACCAACAGCTTCCACTCTCTACTGAGTCAACTTTAAAGTGCACCTATAAGATCTAATTTTTTCCGCTAACATGAAACTACTTGTATACTTCAATATTAAAATCATTGCTCATCGTGATTTGGCTGAATTCTCGATTTTCCATGCCCGTTGGAAGTCCCGTTGTCACGTACAAATAGGTCTTCATACCACACAGTCATTATTCTCATCTGATTCGACTGAAGGCGAAAACTGAACCGACTCTCTGATTGATTTAAAAATACCTTAGCCTATACTTTATTACTAAATTTACAACTTTTTTGGTTAAAAAGTTTCCTTTAACGGTCGGATTCGTTTTACAGCAATGCAGTGATGTAGTACGTGTTTACGAAATCGACGAACGGAGCCTTGCAAAAGAGGAAAGAAGTCGATGTGGAAATAGTATACAAAGAAACCAGCGCCTTGAACGCCAAGGAATAATCACACTTGAAGTATACGAAGACAGAGAAACGACAAGAAGAATTTTAAAGGCTGCAATCTCATTCATAGAAGATGCCGAACAAGATGGAGCTGATATGAGAAACGCTGCCTTTATTCTTTTTACATCATTCAGATCATTTGCTGTCATAGCTGGAGACGGAGATTGGGAATACACCTTCAAAGAAGATGAAGATGGTGACATATACGGTCGATGCGTGCGCCTGCCCTTAGCACGATACCTCTACGATAAGGTTAAGAATACTGTTTCGCGCGTTGCCAGAAGGGTGTTAGGGTTTCTACCAATAGTAGGCCCTCATCTAACCCAGGCCCTGGAACCACCATAGATATTGTACCTGAAACTGATCGATACAAAGTAAATGTCTCGGGTTATCGGTTTGTTTTAGATTAGGTGTTCCGTATAATTAAGAGCCAGTGCCCATAACTATGGACCAAACAACGGCACAAGTCGAAAAATCGATTTTGCTCATTTTTTGCCCATAGATTGACCCTAGCTAGTAAACAAACGGACCATAGTTAGTTTCTGCTAATTCAGCTTTTTGGGGGAGAAATTTGCGAAAAACGATTTTTTTCCGATTGGGCTCAAAATCTACTTCCGGTTTTGCTGAATTTTCCGAATATTTGATTGCTT